TTTGGAGTAAACAATTCCGTTCCCATCGCAAACACGTGATGGCCGATGTACATCGCTTGGCAGTTTGAAGTATAGACAGTCTGGGCTTGAGAATTCGAGCAAGGTCAAGTGTTACGAAACGTTTCTTAGAAGGTGCACCAAAACTGCGTCGTTAGAATTTTCAGAAATACTGAGTATACCGGAAATTGCATTTATTTGAGAAATACCAGCATTTCAGAATAAATAGGGGAATGCCAAGCATTGTTTTCTCCACAAAATGCATACATTTATTAGGGTCATTATCAGCTCTCTTTAAGCTTTCCAAGTTCTCTACTTCATGCTCTTTCGAGGTAAATACAGACAGAGGTTTTCTCGAGACTGAGAGCAATGAAGTGTTCATGATTCCTACAAACCAAGGTATCCAAAAAGAAGTGTAGAACATGGGAACATTGCTTTTAGGGTGTTTTATCGACGGTCATCCTATATACTTCCTAATCCAATAAATTCCCAGAAAGTTATCCAACGAGTTCAAATTGTAGTCTTCAACATGTTTATTCGTATGCTGCATCCCGAAACTCACAAATGTTTGATTTCCAAAGTAATTACATAAGCAAGTACATAGTGTTCAGGCATTGCCAGTGTAGAGCGAGTAGTTTTTTGATTTCACATAGAATTTTTTCAGTGCATTCAGACCAGCACTGGCCTTATGCATAGCCGCGTGTTTCACTGATTTTCATCCAATGTACACCCTAGTTGACAAGAAGCGCTGCTCTCCGGAAAGTTCACATCGTTTTCTAGGGTGCTTTTACTATGCACTCTTGTTGCTTTTCTTGAATGATTTGACAAAAATGGAACAAAATCTCCCGAATGCGCATTTTTGGGTTCTGGTGTGTACGGCACAGAACACAATGGGAGCTTCGGGAGACTGAGTAATGAGCCGAACCCTCCATAGCCATGCCAAGCGATAGCCCAGACCCAGAGAAGTATATGCCTGGACTACATACGCGGCCACTGGCAGTCAGTAATTGAGAGGGGTTCGGGAAAGGTCTGGGCCTCCATTAGCATTGCCTTGTGATGCCTAAGAAGCCAGAAATGGCTACGCTAATGTCCCTGTTTTTGCTGGCAACATATCTCTCTGATTAACTGCTGCCCCACATTGACCGCCTGTGTAGCCTCATTAACAGAGATTTAAAATAAAGAAATTTGACACTGGGGTTATTCATGTGACTAAGGAACTTCTTTCACTGCTCGGAGTTAGGCTGAAATTTGTACAGCAGCAATTTTACGCTGATATTAAAGTAAAGGGGGCACATTTTAGCTTCCAAGAGCATTTCAATGAAATCAGCACCGTGGAAATTTAGTAAGCGGACTGCCGTTAACTGACTGTTAGGATGAATTTTTGCAGCAACGCTTGCCTGCAAATAAGGAGGATCGCCACGAAAGTTACGTAATTTCGGATCTTGTAAAATCCACTCAGTTTTAGCTCTCTGTTACAGAACACAAAACCCTAAAGTGTCATATGATTAACGCCTTCCGTCAAGGCTGGAATGCAGTAAACAAAAAATCAGCCTGATCAGCTTTCATACAGAAGGTCAATCAGAGGCTTCTTGACAAGCGTACTTTCGCTCCTAATTTTGGAGGTCTTGCGTTCTTCATTTCGTGCTTCCGCAAAAAAAGAACTGGGAAAAAAATCACAGCAAAGCTGGTATTTACCTCCCGCTTAATTACCAGTGCGCCAGAACGAGCAACAGTTATGTTTTGGCAATGTGTGTGCTTCCTCTGGCAAATCCGCTTTGCGAAATGGTTTATTATAGACGATGTCGCTGAGTTCCGGAGGACAAGGTTTTTATTCCGATTATTTCAAGCCGTAAACATAATATCTCTCGCATTTGTCGTTTAAGCACAATTGCGAAATTTTCTCATAGCATGGCTTGCGGCCAGTTCTACTTCGGCTGACACTCGAGTAAGAAGACCCTCATGGCATGCCTCACATTTGCCTTTGGAAATGGCTGTTGTTGTAGGAAAGGCATACTATAGTTTGTTAGCATCCAAGTCCATAAAGTACCTGAGAAATTAAGTCATTTTTCTATGTGATCGTTTTCTATGTGTCGTTTAACTACTCACGCGCACTGTGGTTTTAGAATAAAATCTGAAAGTAAACTATCTGCGTTCTGAAAAGAGTGTTCCGAGCCTTGGCTTTCCAACACATCTGCAAGTGTCCATGAGAATAGACTTTTTGCCATTTCTAAGTAAGGATACTAATGACTCCAATTTGCTTACTCTTATTTGAATTTAATGGCATACTGGGTGGCTTCCTCTGCAGTTTAAAAAGCATTTGGAGGCGGTTTGGCACTATATTGCCGCGGTCATGCCATTGAGATGAACAGTTGCAAGAATACCGGCCAGTTAGGGCTACAGACTCTAAAAAAGACAACCGATGCCATGATATGAAGCATAACTAATTCATTGGAATCCATAACTGCCTCAAAAACAAGTGCGACGCCAGTTTCAAAGGAAACTGATTTCTTAGACGCTGCAAATCGGAGCATCCGTCGACCAAGTTAATGATTTAAATGTAAGTGACAGGTTTGCTTCCTGCACTAGACGTACTCTTTAGCAGAAAGTCGGGTGGTACCGTTCGCAGCAGCATCTGTCGAAAGAAAGCCTGGTCTGGACAATATATGCCTGTGGTCTGATACAAAAAGGCCAAAAAAATGTGTTCGACCGACAACATTGAGAAGGAATTTCCCTTACTCCATCATCGTATTGTTATTCTTTATGTCCTCGTTTATCTCCAGTGACGATTTTCCCTTTCAGATTGCAAAAAGAGGTCAACTTACTGATCTGCTTAGTATTTTACAAATTTCGACTTCTTTTAAGGTGTACTTGGATACGCGGAGGTGGCAAATATATACCAAGGAAATAAATTATGTATCGCGTATTAAATATAAACAGTGTTCTTTTGCCGAGAATACGATAGTAGCCAGTTCTTCTGTTATTGCATATGCCGCATTGAACAGGGCATTTATTTGCGCGAATTTTCGCGAGTTTCATGTTAACACTCAGCAAAAATACTGCAAAGCTCGAAGATGGGTCTTAACTAAATGGGATTTTGTGTGAAATCCCATCGGAATTCACGTGTTTAATCAGGATGATGAGCGTGGGCTGGTTAGATGGCCATAAAATCAAATTCTTGCTGAACACAACAAAGAATGTAAGAATACATAAAATGTAGTGCCAACCACTTAGTACAGAAAATAAGTTGAGCTAAAAAATCTAAACCTTCCCAATAACAAATAATTTTTATAACATTATTATTTTGCAAGGGGTTTCAAAAGCACCAGTTTGTGAATAAATTGCGAATTACAATCAACTATTTACCTGTTTATATTAGATACCGACCATAGTCAGCGAAAATAAGGAGTTTTCCAGAAAGGTGGTAACTGCCAATTTTCCGCTAATTAACCTTCCATTAGAAGACTTATGTTCTGAGACCTTTATGAGGCACACACAGAAAAACACAGCAGAGCTTCCAAGTCTCAGATAACTGAGATGGACGGAGGCGGAAATGGCTAACATTATTAGCCTAACACGCATGGCCGTCAGAAGGACTACAGGCTCTACAGGTGTCGCACACCCTCTACACATTGAACGTCCTATAGGATATTCATGGTCATTTACGAAATCTTGGTCGTCTTCTTGGGCTTCGAGAATAAGAGAGGACACGAGATCGGATAAATTGAGCAATTGAAAGATAATAAAAGAGAAGTAACGGGCATTTAACTTTAGAAAAAAGAGTCCAAGGTTTATGCGAGACAACTCCACTACACTTCAATTAATGCAGGCGAAGTAAGAAGGATTGCTAACCTTGGACTGTCTTTAGCCTATTTTTTTAACATTCAGATTAGGTGAGAATTTGTAAACAAACGGAGACAAACGGGTCTCCCATACAAACCTTGTAATGCACTCTAATGTCGAAGCAGTTTTTAGCATGCTAGAACAATGTTTTCTACAAAAAG